GCGGGTAATTCTTCGGGTAATCTAAAAACGCGGATAGAGGCGGGTAATTCCGAATTTGAATGACGACAAAGTCTATTTGTGGTCTATTAAATTTATTTGGATGAGTTGACAAAAAAATTAATAAATATTTATGAACAATATTTGTTAATCACAATTTGTAAACATAAAAATTTATTTTATAAATTTTCTTTTAAATATACTTTTATAAGAGATTTTCTAAATTCGTGCAAAAATAAAGTTCTTTTATTTGTCGACAATAGAGTTGTAAAGAGATGGGTAAAGTTCGGGTAAACTTAGCTCTCTGTCGGGTAAAAATGGCTAATTCAAGAGTAATATGGGTAACGAGACAGGTACGAGTTGCAAGCACTGGTGGTTTATGAAATCAATGTTCGTACACATAACAGGGAAACAGCAAAATACAGAGGTTGTTATGACTATTTTTTTATTTTTCTGAAAAAAAAATATCGAAATTAATTCTGAGATTTATTCTCTCTAAAGAATAGTATACAGGGCTGGAAAATCCACATGGTTCATCTGCCTTTATATAGATCCATCTGCCATCTCACTATAGACAAGGATGGCTATAGTGAAGACGTTTTATAATCTGAATAGTCACCGACCGTTTCGGGTTAGAAGTGGGAGTGACTATTCACATTATGAAACGTCTTCAATGTAACCATCTTTATCTATCGCACGGATTTCTATCACTTACTTTGTCGCTCTCACGTAACGGCCGATGTACTATGAGGACTTTTCGAACCTGTATATTACATCGATAGTATTTATCGTGGAAATGGAAGAAATCATGACTATAGTAGGATCGTATTCGATGCAAAGTAGAGCAAAAAGTTGTCAAAGGAAAATCGTGTCATCATTTTTAGGAGGCGTAAGATAAATCATTTCAAATTTAAAATGAAATTCAATATAAAATCTGAAATACCGTTGCATACGCACTGTGTTCTGGTAGTAGCTGTAGTCGCCCAGGTGCATCGAGTGTACGAACTGGTCGGTTATACGTCAAATACTAACCTGGCGAGCTTTGCCGTCAATTAGAGAGCGCTTCCAAAAAACAAGTAAACAACAGTGGCGCGTACAGAGGTAAAATGTAGTACATATGTGGAATTTAGGAAACAAATTGGATTTATAATAAATTACATTTAAAATAAATAGTTTATGAGAATAAAGGAATTTTTGTAG